TAAGTCCCGTGGACCATCTTGCCTTCACTTCAAGTCTTCCAGAAGGAGCCAAATTTATAAGACAGCATCTTTGAGACTACTTTGTAAAAACCCGATGGAATACTGTGAAATCCCACCACGTGTTTCACACCAGCACCTTCGTGGACTGTCCTCATCCCAAGGCTTCTGGTTGAAAACTGTCTCGGCTCGCCTGCCCCGGAAACCAAGCCTCCCCGAAGACACCCCGAGTCCTTCGCTGGTGCTTGGAGCGCTCACTCCAAAGAAGGGCCGTGCACCTGCTCTCACGTGCTCTTCAGGAAAGCACTCCGTCTGCACGGGAGGTTCTCGGGGGAAGTGAAATGGCAGGTCTCTACTCTAGCTCTCCCAAGCATGTGGATTCTTCATTTATTTACCAATTATCTTTTGAGCGGTCGCTCTGAGCCAGGCACTATTCTCAAGTGTTAGAACTGCAGAGGTGAACTAGGTCCTTGTTTGCATCCCTCCGGGTGCGAGAAGACAGGTCATAAACAAGCAGGCAAATAAGCAAAACACCAGGCAACGAGTAGACTGAGGAAAGGAAAACAAACTGCTGTGGCAGGGTGGCTGGTGGCCCCCCAGCTCGGGTCATGGGGGAAGGCCTTCTGAGGAGACAGTATTCACCCAAATGACAAGAATGACAAATACGCCCTGGGAGCTACTGTCCTTAAACACAAAGTCGGACTCCTTTTGTATGCTCCAGCTCTCACTCAACTTCCATTCCCAGCTCCTACTGACTTACAACGTGAATTCGTAATCTCATAAGTTAGAGCTGGAAAGGACCTGGAAATCTTCTTAATCTCACGCTGTGATTTTCAACATAAGGAAAGAAAGATCCAGAAAAGTGAAGAGGGCAGGTCACACAGAGAGCATCACGAGAAGGTGAGAGGCCAACTCTGGGCTCAGGCTTCTCCCTGCTCTTCTCCCCAGCACCCATCTCTTCCCTGTAGGATCCTCACCCTGGTGTCCGCTTCTCTGAAGCCTGCAGGAGCTAAGTCTTCCCTGGACCCCTGGGGACCTTCTGGAATGCTATCAGGAGCCCTGAGAGTGCAGAAAGGCTCTGGGGGCCAGGGTAACAGTGGAAGAAAAGGTACAACTTCTCATGGTGCGATTTCAGCACATCCCAGACCCACCCTAGAGCCAGGCGTGGCTCCCACCGTCTCCCTGTCCACAGGCGGGCCCTGAGAAGGGCTTCCCAGCTTGGGAGCTGCATGGCTCTGTGAACCCAGTGCACCCTGAAGACCTCTCTTCGGCAGTGCTGCCTGAGGCAACCAAGTTGGTATGAAATCCTTCTATTCTATGATCCCAATCCCTCTCAAAATGCTTTTTCAAAAGATTAACTACAGAATTTCTTTAAATATCAAGCTCCCTTAGTATATTTAAAGTACAACCTATGAAAACTGAATCAACATAAAGATTTTATCTCCCCTGCCAAAAAACCCTCAGCTATTGTATCAAGGGCAATAGCATAAACTTAGAGTCTTAATGATAGATTTTAGACTCTTGTATTATGTAATGGTTCTCATTCACTTGATGCATATTTATTGAACTGCTCTATGCAACATATGCATCCAGGGTGCCATGAGGACACGGCAGTCTGGCCTCTGGAGGCACGCATACGTACAACTCTAACACAGGCAGCTGTGGTGAGTGTTACAACAGAGGGGACGGACAAACGCTGCAGGGGACAAGAGTGTGAGAAATTGTATCTTGGTTGAAGATCAGGGAGGGAAACAACAACGTTTTAATTGGGTTTTAAAGAATGTTTATGATTTCTGTAATTGGACCATTCATTCCGGGAAAAGGAAACATCATGGCATGTATACAGGGGGCAAGGCATGCAAGGACATGTTCTCAGAACAGAGAGGAGCCCAGTGGAGCTTGATGGTGAGACAGGAAACGGCGAGGAAGAGAAGATGGTGTTGGGAAATAGACCAGAGCCCTGAATGCAAGAATAGAGAAAGTTTGGACCCAACCCATAATCCACAGAAGCTCTGAGCAGGTTTCGGGCAACGAAAGAACGTATCCAGAATTGTGTGTTAGGGAGCTCATTCTAGAAGCCGTGTCCAGGACTGATTTGAATGGATAAAGGCAGGCATCAGGGAGAGAGAGGCCCATGTAAGAAATTATCCCCATGGTTCCTGGATTATATAAAAAATAAGGAATAAATTCAAGAGTTAAAGGAAAGGTAGAATTGATAAGGTGGGGAGGGATCCAGTCCCCAGGAAGGAGGATCTGGCTTTGGAAAGGGGCGGGGGTCACAGGCCTCAGATTCCAGCCTAAGGAAGAGAAGTCAGCACAAACGACAGTAAGTGGCATCTCCGTAAGACAGGACGATCGTGGGAGGCCCCATACTTGAGACGGTAATCATGAATCTACTGCATAAAAGCTACCCCAGCGGGATGTCTTCCGATCCATGTATGAAGCCTCCGTTTTTAATAACGCCTCTTCTGGAGACATACAGAAGTGCCTATTGTACGTGATGGTCCCAGAACACTTCTGAGATTATTGCGTCTCCACAGCAGCAGTGACAAGCAGCTCGGCTGGGTGAAGAGCAGGAGCCCAGGGAACGACCATTTCAGAGCAAATGGCAACTCAGTGGAGGGACGGCAACTTCAATCAAGGACGCCAAGCATAACGTTAGCCTCACCGCTGTGTCCTGATATGAGCAACTGCGTGACAGACTGGGGCCTTCCAGTTTGAAGGACAAGGCCCTGGGTTCCACCACCCGAGCCACACATGCTGGTTTCAAGGGTTAGCATTCCCATCACTACCTGTCCACGGCTCTCTGTGACAAGATCGTGAATTTTAGGTTCACCCCTGGCTTCTTTTCCTGGCTACTCTCTTTGCTAATGTACAGCCTGGTTTCCATTCTAGTCTGAGCCATGCTGACATCTTGAAGCTTGTTTTCAGCCAATTGGCCTACAGAATCTACAGAAATTGCCTTAAATCAATGTTTACCAACATGACACACAGAATATGAATTTCATCAACAAGGAGGTCTTGTGATAAAATAATTTTGGGAAAAGCCACATTAAATAAAGTGAAAGATGTTTCTTTGCTATAATACACCTCTATCTGCAACAACATGGATGGACCTTGAGGATATTATGCTAAGTAAAGCAAGTCAGATAGAGAAAGACAAATACTGCATGATCTCACTTATATGTGGAATCAAAACCAAAAACAAAAACAAAAACAAAAAACAAGCCCATAGATAAGCTCATAGATACAGAGAACAGATTGATGGTAGGTCAAAGGGCATAAACTTCCAGTTGTAAAATAAATAAGTCATAGGAATGTAATATACAGCATGCTGATTATAGTTAATAATACTGTGTCATACATTTGAAAGTTGCTAGGACACACCCAAGAAGCTCCACAAACTCCAAGCAAGATAAACTCAAAGATATCAACACCTAAACGACATCATAGCCAAACCGGCAAAAGCCAAAGGCAAAGAAAATGTTGAAAGTAGCAACAGAAAAGCAACTCAACATGTACACAGGAAACTCAGTAAGTTTCACAGATGATTTCACGTCAGAAACCAGAGACATGAAGCCAGTGAGATGACATATTCAAACTGCTAAAAGAAAAAGAGTGTCAACCAAGAATTCTATATCCAGCAAAACTATCCTTCAAACAGAAGAAAACAATTAAGTAATTCCTAGGTAAACAAAAACTTCAAGAATCTGTTGCTAGTAGACTTTTCCTGCAAGCAATATTAAAAGGATTCCATTAGGCTGAAATGAAAGAACTCTAGAGAGTAACTTAAATCCACACAGTGAAGTAAAAGGCACTGATAAAGTTAACTATATGTATAAATAGGAAAGACATCATAGACATAATTTTGATTGTAAAAACAAGAAGTTTGCTAAGAGAGTAGCTTTAAAAGTTCTCATCACAGGAAAAACATTTTTTTGGAACTGTGTATGTTGATGGATGTTAACTAGGCTCATTGTGGTGATCATTTCACAATATATACAAATATTGAACCATTATGCTGTACATTTGAAACTAGTATACTGATGTATGTCAGTTGTACCCCAATAAAAATGACACCTCTGAACTTTCAGAGATGCTAATATGTTCTGAGACTCTCCCAGAGTGAGACACAGTAGATAGCACCTCCTAATCTTACTTATCTGCAGAACCATTTGTCAGCAAAGAGTCTCAAGGTGCACGTGCCCTGCAGAACATACTTGGAGAAATGCCAGTGATAACGCTCTTTGTAATTAACTAGGAATCATACTAAAAGTATAATAATAAAAGCTAACATCTATTAAATGCTTACTATATGCCAGGCACCTTTTTAAGCCCTTTACATGTGTTAATATATTTAATCCTCATAACAACCCTGTGATATTGGTACTATCATTACTATTTCCATTTTTCAGATAAGGGAGCGGAGGCACAGAGAAGTTAAGAGACTTGCCTAAGGTCCTAAGTAGGCAGGTTAGTGAGTAGAGGAGCTGGAACTGAACCTAGGCAGTCTGGCGCCCACATAAATTAATGTCCAATGGTAGAATTTCAGACACTGTAATCAGCTGGCAGTGGGAGAGATCCTGAGAGGAGGCTTGCACGGCAAACCTCCAATTACAGTAAACCCAAACCTGCATGCTCCTAAATTAGGTTTCATAGTCCTCTCCAGCATACCACGGAGGACATGGCTGGTGAACTGTACCCTTGATTCAGTTTCTTCACTAAGTTGTGTCACATCGTGCATGCATACTCTTCCATTACACCAAAGTCACGCAGCAGAGACAGCACCGTTACCAATAAAAACGGTACTACGTAAGGACCATCAGCTCTGGCTTGACCAAATGGCAATTTGAGAAATGGCCTCTCCTGTGTTTTCAAAGCATTGATCTCTTGCTCTCCAGCTCAGAGGCCAAAACCAAGGGACTGTTTTCCTCTAACGTGACGCTAAGTTTTCCAACCCCACACCTCCGCTTTGCTCGAGAACTGCCAAAGACATGTCCTACCCTCTCCCATTTCCTCTCCTTGTTCAGAAGGATGATCACCAGTTTCGGGTGCATCTGGTAGCCATCTTCACTGAAGGACAGATTTCTCCCCTCAAAAGTGACATTGATCAGATACCTGTAGAGATAAAATAAGAGAAGGTTAAAAGTACGAAGAAGGTATGCCAAGGACAAGAGATTTGGGAAGACAGAGAGACTGGTGCATGAAGACAGACAGACATACAGCTATCCAGACACCACTGTGAAGCTCGGTGCCCTTCGGGCTCCCGTTTGATTATTCAGTAGAGTCAGACAAGTTTCCATGTAATAGGAATAATGTGAAAATATGCTTTAAAAATTTAAAATAAGGGCACTGAGTTTGAACTTAGTCTGTAGCTATGACTGAGCAAATTACTCAGCCTTTTCAACATTTTTTTTCACCATCTGCAAAAAATGAGGTAATGAAGAAACCTACTTGATTAGTTTTGTAAGGCTTAAGTGAGATGGCTTACCATGGGGTCTGGTGCATAGTAAACCCTCATTATGTGTTAGCAATTATTATTCAAAAAAGGAGGTGGTTTAAAGGGCAGAGGTGGTAGAGACAAAGTGGGAGTGAGCCAAGAGGATTTTTTGCTAAGAAAGGTTGCAGTTTAGGGTCTCTCTGCTTCCCAGAGATACAGGCACACACTTTCCAACTCTCGTGAAGATCCAGCACAGCCCACACTTCTGACTGTTGCAAAATGAGTCCAGCAGTCTCTGGTCCCACAAGATGCATCTGGAAACCAGGGCTATGGCACTTTGTAGAGTGAACAGAAAATAGCGGGGCAGTGGGGTGGGGAGGAGAGAAAGACATTGCACACGATGCTGTAGGTACAGGACTGGAAATTAGCAGAAACTTTGGGAATAACTAGAGTCAGACCAATAGAACTGTCTTCCTCCTCAACACCTGCACCCCAAGCTTACCCCATTCCCCCGCCAAGCTCACCCCATTCCCCCGCCAGCTGCTCTGAGCTGATGAAGTTCCCTCACTGGGAATTCCCACAGGCATGCTCATTACAACCACATTAGTGCAACTGTGCTGATGGTAATTAATGTCCCTTTACCATAATGGCTCAAGGAGTCAATAATGATTAGCTCCGTGTTCACATGACATGCTGCTCTGGAGCCTGGGGCCCGAAACAAGTCTCTGCTAAGCAGCAAAGGGGGTATCACGTGATTGCCCTGAGCGTTCTAAAGGGTCTTCAAAGCTCTGACCAACAAGGGTGTCACACTTCACTCAAGGGGAACAGAATGTGCAGGAGGCAGTGGATAGGTTCCTCTTTCAAGCCTTCTCATTCAATGAAACCGGGAGACTCTTCTTTGATTCTTCCAGGTCACATTACTTAAGCAACAAGGTTGCTGGGATGCATGTCCTTCTGACAATTCTAAAGATGGCTAGGCATCTGAACCAAGTCCTTCTGGACCACTTCTCACTCCAAGAGCTGCCTGAGATTTTTCAACCCGTCACTCCTGGGTCAAACGCAGTTAAGAACACAGACTTCAAAAGATTCCTAGAATCTCAAGATTGGAAGAGACCTTCAGAATCAATTAGCCTACTTGCTTCTTAAAGTTTATGCTTCCCTCTACAGCATCATAAAATTAGCTCTTCTTGAATACCTCCACAGACGGGGAGCTTATCACTGTATGTCTTACCCTCAAGGTAGCTATCTCACTGTTGGGCTGATCTTTTTCACTTAGAGCTGAAATCTGCTCCTCACAACCCCCAAGTCCTGGTCTCCTCCTTAGATATCATACAGTCTTAGTCTAATGCTTCTTCCACACGGGAGCTCTTCAAGTATTTGAAGGTATTTATCATGTATTCCTTAGAAAATAAATTCTAATCTTTGAAGAAACCTTAGAATCATTTAGTTCTATAATCATTATTTTCTTTTTTAAATTGTAATGTAATCAGTTTATAATGTGTCAGTTTCTGGTGACAGTATAATAGTTCAGTTATACATATGCATACATACTTGTTTTCATTATAGATTACTATGGGATATTGTATCTAGTTCCCTAGTTCTGTAATTTTAACTTGAAAGATAAGAGAAGTGAAGCACAGAGAGGTTAAATTATTTGCCCAGTGTCCCACAGCTAACTGGGAGCAGAAATAACATTTAAAGGGCCGTTCCCAATCCCATAGGCTCTCTACCACACCACCCTGATTCTTACGTTGTGCAACATCAGCTTGAATATCTCTGGGTCCTTCACGTATCATAAGCTATGGCTCCAGATCCCTCCCTCTGTCCCCTTGGCCGCTCTCTCTGGACACTTGCAATCAGTAAAGCGTAGCGTCCCTAGTTCAGCTCAGGGCTCCATGCTCTGTGCTGCTCCTCGTCTCAGCTCAGGGCTGCTTGCTCAGGCCCATCACTAGTCAGAAGGTAATACTCAGGTCTCCTGCAGTTCACAACTTCAATGCTCCAACCCAAGTCCCATATAATTCATTTCAGGGAATGTAATAGCCAAAGTACGAGACAAAATATTTTAAACCAACAAGCCAGAGTCTAAGCACCCAACATAATTAACTTGGAAAATGTGTTCTTACTACAATAATACTGCATCGTTTAGAACAATTTCCAGAAGTCTTCAGAGAAGGCATATGAGACACAAACAAATTAGTCGCACCTCTTTTTGGGAAGAAAGCAAGAGGGGGAGTGGGGAGAAGGAAGGAAGGGAGGAAGGGAAGGAGGGAGGGAGAGAGGAAAAGAGGGAAAGAAGGAGGGAGACAGGGAAATAAATTCTCTGGCTTAAGCAGCCTCCTTTTCACCAGACATGGCTCTGAATAATTCTGACTTTATCTAAAACACCATTAAGCATATTTCAAAGAAAGTGTCCATTTCAGAAGGCAATTATAAAAGAAAAGTTCCCAAAATAATTCAAGTAATAAGCAGCATGAATGGAATAGAGCCTCTCCAGATGACTTCTTAGACAGGGACAGAACTGAATTGAGTGTGCAAGTTGAGACATTCAAGCTCTGAGAAAATAAAACCACATTCATGCGCAATGACTCTGGAGTTAAACTGCTTTAGTCACTCCTGCCTGAGATCCTTTTGATTTTCCTTGTACATTTTTCTCTTCCTGGGATGCTCACCTTCCTCCAGCTCTACACGTTTATTTTATTCCATGTTGGCATTTCTCATGTTCTACTTATCAAAAGTATTAATGAAACATTATGCCAATACACAACTTACTCTTCTCCAAAGCACTCTTTAATCATTCACATCCTTCAGCCGTGTACAGATTAATCATTCACACTGTGTTTTTTTGAGTAATTCCCTGCGATGTGCCAACATTTAGCTGTTAGTGAGGAGCTTGCAAATACACCCCTGCCTTGAACAAGGATGCCCTCTGAATAGCAGAACAGACCAATCCCGTCATTGGTAATGAAGAGTGTGAAAAAAATAATTGGGAGTGTGGTCACTTCCAGACATGTGACCTTGGCACCTGAACCCGAGTTTTTTCCTCTTTAACACGGAAAGACCACTTTACCTCCAGCTTTTATCAGATAAGGCTGTGATGCTGATCACAAGAAATGAGGGGTAGAAAAACTGTGTAAAATATGATACAAATATAAGGTTATATAACAGGAAACATTCAGAAAACAAGAATACATTAGCATGATTTGAGTATCCAAAGGCAAGAAACTTGCCTCATTTTGGACCTCAGTGAGTAGAAGTGTGATGATTATGCTTAACAAGACCGAATTATCAATAGAACACATTGGAGGAATGGAAATTGCATTCCACATACGGAGGATAAACTAGGTTAAATGATCATATTAATCGATTTAACTTTCCATTTTAACTTTTTCACTTTGTCAATTGTGAATATTCATTAAAACCTCAAAGCTTCCATATATAAATCCTCAGTAAAGGATTAAGATACAAGATTAAGACATGCCACAGCTATTCGGTTCTTATCCTCAAGTATGCCGTCAGAAGTGGCAGCCAAATTCTGAAGCTCTGCGCATAAGACTCTGGTCCCCTGGAAGGCCAGCAAGGTCTGGCATACAAAAAATATTGCTTAATTTGTCTCTGGGATGTAGAAAGGAGACAACGGGTTCCAGGATGCTACCTGACTTTCCAAGGTGCCCGTTCAGGACTGGAGTGCAAGCTTTCTGATTTCAAGCTCTGTGTTTTTTTTTTGTTGTTACATCACCAAGCCAAGTGAAGTCAGGTTTGCGGAGCCCCGGATGTGCCTCTTGGCATTCTCACGTCGCGCACCTGGACTACGGAGATTCCCTAATACAGACTGCGAGGAAGGAGCCCCACCTCACTTCCTGCCTGACCCCTGCGGGCTGAGAGCGTCTTAGGCCCCTGATGCGCTCAGAGCCGACACACTCGGTGCGTACGGCGAAAGTCATCCTCCTCTGGTTTAACGGGGTCAAGCTGAGGGAAAAAGTCCTTGTGCCTCTTTGACTTTGACCATGCCACTCGGAGCTTCTCTGCTGCAGTGATGTAGCAGCGTGCCCTGTGTGGAAGGCATCCGAAAGAGCTCTGCCAGAATTTCCCCAGCAAGCCAAGAGCTCTGGCACGCAGTCCTCATTCTGCCCTCCCTGTTTTCACAAGGCACAGATTTTTTTTTCTTTTACTAATGTCTTTTAATGTGGTGATAAGAGAGAGAAGTCTCTCCTCTCAGGCAATCCTTTGATTTTCAGACAAAGCAGATGAAGTCCAGAGGGTTCTGTAGCTTTACCAAGACCAGATGACAGGGCTGGGCAGAGGGTCTGGGTGTCCTCACCCCCGTCCGGCTTTCCTTCTGCTCAGCACCACTCCTCCAAAACGGTGGAGTTTCCATTGCTCTCAACTTCCATTCTCCCATTATTCAGAGCAAAGTAATAAAGGAGCACGGTTCTAGGCTGGTGACTTGAATTCTTGACCCCTTTGTTTATAGTTCTCCAGCTCTGAAAACCCGTAAGTCTCTATCACTGTGTCTGGTGTGTCATTTGCCTTTTAAAGCCTTCAGCTCCCGCACCTATGAAACAGACTGGTTCAGACCATCTCGCTTGTCTGATGAGGGAAGCAAAGGGCTCCTCGGAGAGGCTCTCCATCCCGACATGCCCTCTGATTAACGCTATGGCTGTTACGTTGCTGAACTCCG